CAATCAGAAGCCTGCGTTTCTATACGAACGCCACTACCAAGAAAACCTATCATCCGTGCAGGCCCTCTATTCTTCGCGCCGCCCGCAACCCAGGGCCTGTTCGCAGGCTAACGACTAGTATATTGTGCTCACATTCCAATGATCTGGACAATATTTTTTCATTGTTACAGTGTCGGTTTAATTTTTTATCTATCCTGATCTTCTTTGGCTGGTCTTCGAGTATTTGTTTTTTTCATATGATCCTAAACTCACGCATTTTCTGTTTCTTGTCATGAATGTAAATAATACTTAATGCCAACTTTTTCACAATATTGACAGGTGGCTGTTATCTTCTCAATCCTAAAATATTTAGCTTGAAACAGAGGGTTTTCCCCGTTTATATCATACTTCATAAAATTTCGTCCAATCCGATCTCTTTCGACAGATGCTATTTGCTAGCAAAAACAACTTTCCAGATATCGAAACATGCAACATTTCAATATATCAATGCAAATTCGCACGCTTCTAAAGATAAAGCGACCTTGCTAATTTTCTGGACTTATCTCGAACGAGTTCATCTCCCACATGAGTCAACTTTTACAGTGTAAAATATCATGTTGATTATAATTGTTGCTTTGACTGAAAGCTACAAATCTGGTCTTCGTATGTTCTTGAAAAAGCAATTGGCAACAAGTATAGAGTCTCCCAGGAGATAGCGTTGCAATAATCCCACACTATAGAAGAGTGATGATTCCACATAGCTCTTTAAAGGCCATGATTTAATCGACGTGTCACTCGGCTTCTGAAAACCCATACTTCCCTTTGACATCCATTGTCTCCAGTTGAGAAAACGCTAAACTGCTGAGCTTATGTCGGTTGGAACCCTTTCATCAACTATTGCTCCACCCGGCAGCACCTTAGCCAGAAGACCAAGATGCCATCTTTACTTTCCAATTCACGCTCTTTCCTTCTGCCCACGTTGACAGTGTGTGACGGTATCCGTTTGAAGACAGTTTACTTTACATGTATGCAGCATTCTTTAGTATAACACCCGCGTTAAATGTCGTTGGTCATGTAGTATGCTTCCAGCTTTCTACATCACGTCTAGATTCTTTTGTTTAATGTATGTCATCCGCTGAAGAGTGGTTTGTTCTTGTTGTTTTTTTAAATTGGCTTCTGGTAAAAAGTCCATGTTCATACAATCAATTCTTCTGTATCTTTAATTCTCATCATTAATATTTAATAATCAGTACTGCTAAATATAGTCTTTGCAACCCAACCGTCTTTGATCGATGCTTAGTTTAAAGACAGTATAGTTTGCGCATAGCCTGCACACAGCAGGAAAGATAGTTCGCCTGTCTGTAAACTGCTATAGTTACATTTGATTCTCGTCGTAGAAAGCGATCAAGATCACTGCCCGTCTCGGCGTTTCCTGATCTTAGTTTGTGAATACAACTTACTATACCTCAATTTGCGAGAACATTAAATATGCAAGGGATTTCCCCTATTGCGCTGAATATACTTAACAATTTATATTCCACAAAACAGATATTTCAGACATATATAACCGATATTTCTCACATTATAGTCACATATTAAATCTAGAGATCAGAAATGCATATTATATTCTATCATTACAGAGTGTATTACAACTGAAAAAAAACCTATGTATATTTAACGATTTAAATGTTTACTATGATGTTACTTACTTGTCGATGATATGTATGTATGTATATATGTATGTATATATGTATGTATGTATATATGTATGTATATATGTATGTATGTATATATGTATGTATGTATATATGTATGTATATATGTATGTATATATGTATGTATGTATATATGTATGTATGTATATATGTATGTATATATGTATGTATGTATATATGTATGTATATATGTATGTATGTATATATGTATGTATATATGTATGTATGTATATATGTATGTATATATGTATGTATGTATATATGTATGTATATATGTATGTATGTATATATGTATGTATATATGTACGATGATATGTATGTATATATGTATGTATGTATATATGTATGTATATATGTATGTATGTATATATGTATGTATATATGTATATATATATATATGTATATATAT